AAAAAGAAATATCTCTCTTGAAGCATTTATTTTTGATGTAATTTAAAGCTAATAGATTAAATTATTATTTCCATAAGCAAAATCCTTTTTTTTTCAGTATTTCAAAACTAATTAAGATTGACTGAAAATAGTTTTCGTTTTGAGATTGGCAAAATCGCTGAATTAGTGCCATTTTTAGCAATTTTCATCACAGTGTAATTCTCTTCATTGAAAAATATTCCAAAAATAAAATACATTTTTCTGAAATTTTATTTGACGAATATTAGATGATTTAAAATTTAATTAATCTGATTTGAAGCAAATATTACTTACTCTAAGAATAAAATATAGTACAAATTGTTTTTTTAACACAGCGGTAGGTATTTATGTAACTTTTCGACAGTCTGACAGCTTGCCTGACACATGGAAGTTTATCTAATTTTTTTCCATTGTGGACATTTCTGTAAAAATTATTTGAGGAATATAACATGAACGCCTTTTTTATATAATTCTTAACTACCAGTAAAATGAAAAATATACAAAATATTCTCCGTAATCTAATGTCTTATTGAATTTTAGATACTTTGACTTTACATTTTCTGTACTTACCGTCCTTATTTTCTGATATGGTCGTGTATGGACATCCGTATATACAAAATCGGCACGTTTATACACACAATAAAAAATACAAAATTCTTTTCAAAATATCAGGGGTCGCTGGATTGTAGTAAGCTTTTCCATTTATGATTAGTAAATATAGCTTTTACTTAATAACAATATTACCTAACCGGTAAACATGAATTCAGAATTTTTAAAATTTTAAAACTTTATAAGTTATTCTAATTAAAACTTTAAAACAACAAAAATACATCTTGTAAAAATTCATTATTGATCGAAAATTTTTTCTTAAGACAATAATGTCCAAAATATTTCTTATCCATAAAAGCAATTAAAAGCTTTTCTAATTAAATAGTGTTTTAGTTTTATTGCATTTTTTATTTTACGAACCCTGTTTAAAAAAAAATGTGATTTAAATTCTTTAAGAAGTTCTGCGTATAAGTCAAGTTAAGTAAGGGGGTTGTAAAATAAATGTTTTTAACAAGATTTTCTATAAAAGAAACATTTCTAAGATAATTGGATTCATTTGTGCATATGTCCTGAGAGTTTTATTAAAATCCGACTATTATTTAATTTTCGCAAGTATTTCCGAAATCAACGCGTTTTTCACCACAAAAAAGCCGGCATCCAACAAGGAAAATAACACCACTACATTCAGGAAAAACCTCGTCTTACGACAAATAAAATTAGCTCAAAATGAAATCCAACATTTAAACAAAGAAATACACAAACATAACACTACACTAAAAAACACTTTGACCGAACCTGAATATAATGAATCGCTGTACCACCTCCAATCTTAGCATCAACCAGCACCAACTCACACACAGACAAATAATTACAAAAAAACTTTGTAAATTATATCAAGGAAATATTTTACTACCCAACAGTGAAGACAAATATTTAAATTTATCCAACCATAAATTAACAGATGACCAAAAAGAATTTCTAAATTTAGGTCCAAACTGCCACATCCAATCTAAGTTTGACCTTATCACCAAGACAACCGAAATTGAAATTTTATACCAATCACTATCCCAACTTTCCACGCGTGGTGACATAGCAGTACACCCTGACCTGAAAGACTTACTCAAAGCTGAGGGTTTGAAGAACCGATCCCCCGGCACTAACCATAGTAGTATTTTAACACCAAAACTAAAAACGCTGCGAAAGATTTAAAAACAACGCTGACATTGTCATCAGACGCGCTGATAAATCTAACACATATGTTATAGTCAACAAAGCTGATTACCAGCAAAAATTAAAAGATATCGTTGATGACCGATCTAAATTCACCAAATTGAAACGAAATCCCACTGAGAATTTAAAAGGTCTGTTAACAAACTAATAACAGCTCACAACGCGGAAGTCGATTCCCTGAAAATTCAAAAAATAGTTGGAGATTACCAACCGGGATACCTATATGGAAACATAAAAACACATAAACCAGGATACCCGCTACGACCAATTATTTCCCAGATACCAACACCTATCTACGAGCTATCAAAATTCCTTAACGATATCATCACTCCATACCTACCTACCAATTACAGCATCACCTCCACCCACGAATTCCTACAAATTTTAAAAACTACAAATGGAACAAATCAAGGTATAATAGCGTCACTGGACGTTGAAAACTTATTCACAAACGTCCCTGTTGATAAAACTATCGATATTATCCTCAACTCTATATATAATAATAATTCCATCCCTCCGCCATCCATCAAACCACATATCCTAAAAAAATTACTACACGCATGCACAACCAAAGTCCCCTTCTATGACCATAATGGCAATATTTATACCCAAACTAATGGTGTTAGTATAGGAAATCCATTGGGTCCATGCTTCTCTAACTATTATATGTCCTACGTAGAAAATACCATATTTACACAGGTCCACAAACCGAAAATCTATGTTCGCTACGTAGATGATATATTCATTTTAGCTGATAGCATTAAAGAAATAGAGACACTTAAGACCACATTTGAGAAAAAACTCCGTCCTTAATTTTACATATGAACTTAGCCAAAAAAACAAACTACCATTCTTAGATATCCTCGTTGAACATAACAATAACACTTTCATTACATCATTATACAAAAAACCCACCAGCAAAAACTCGTGCCACCTTAATTTCAAAAGCGAATGTCCACTTAGGTACAAAATAGCTGTAATAAAAAACTTTCTAAATAGAGCCCACCAGAACTCTTCCTCTCGACTACTCTTTCTCAAAGAACTTAACAACGTTAAACAAACACTAATTAACAACGGTTTCCCTAACTACCTTATAGACCAACAAATTAGAATATTCCTCCCCAAAGCAAGTAATAATGATAGCGAACACACAACTAAAAATCACATACACATTTATTACAAAAACCAAATGCATATTAATTACAAGCAAGATGAATCTGCTCTAAGACATATTATAAAGAAATATACTACTCCTATTGACCCGGATAAAAAATCAAACTTATTATCTATTATAAAAAATTTAAGACAGCCAACCTTATCCTCAAAAAATAACAACACACCAACGAAGTCAAAATTACAAAGAGCGAACATTATCTATGAGTTCAAATGCCCTTTTAGGAACTGCGTTCCTCACCAAACCGGACTCATAAATAATTACATCGGCTACACAACCACATGTTTATCCAGACGTCTTACATTACACCTATCTGATCACAGTTCCATCAGAACACATTTAAACACACACTCAGATTTACCTGACACTATTAGGAACATACTAGTAGAAAACACTAATATATTAACTGCATCCACTTGCAAAAAAGACTAAAAATAATGGAAGCTCTAATAATAAAAAAAGAAAAAAGCCAACTCTTAACAATATCAATTATGAACAAAGCCACAATGTGCTAACTGTATTCGCAAACTAAAACATCACTACCACACACTGAACATACATAGAACACACACTCTACTTGATAATGAATATCCATCATTGAACCATCCTTGATAATGGCTAAAAGTATAGCCAAAGCGCTCGGAAAAACAGAACATTCGGACAGTTCTTACACACTTTTGTCCAGAAAAGAAAGCTCTTGTCAGAACACAAGAAAAATTAAATAAAAAGCTCAACTGTAGTACCTTGTCTGTCGTTTTAACGAAACATGCATAAAGGAAGGATTGCTGCCTAATTATACAAATATATATATATATATATATATATATATATATATATATATATATATATATATATATATATGAATGATGTATGCTGCCTAAATATATATAATTATATTTAGACTGTATCTCATCGTTCAAATATGTCTCATTGAATAATATACACATATTATCTCTATATTTTTTTATAATTATCATTTCTAGTTTAATTCAAGTCGATAAACAAGGCACTAGGATTAATATATATATATATATATATATATATATATATATATATATATATTGCTATCCGACGATAGCGGTCACGGAATAACAGACACAGGTCGTAAATTCGTGGTGCAGTTCTATGATGCCGTACCACGTGAGAGCCCGAAATATTAACAACAGTGCTATATGTCTAGATGCAATTTAACATATATATATATATATATATATATATATATATATATATATATATATCTACTCCAATAGCTTCCTATCTCGCACCTCTCGCCTGTGGAACTCGCTTACCTTTTCCTGTTTCGCTGATAGCTATAATCTCCAACTATTCAAACGTAATGTCAATCGACATCTCCATTTGCCTTGATGTATCCTTCTCCTCATCCTTTCCTCTATCACTCCTATCTGATCTTGCTCCAAATCTTCTGTAACTTCTTGCGTCCTAGTGGCTTCTCGCCTTGCTTGGGGTGAAACGCTTAAAATATATATATATATATATATATATATATATATATATATATATATATATATATATATCCTATCCTATTTTTTTTTCTTTGGGCTTCAGACCTGCATCTGTGCGATTTTTTTGTCGGCAGAAGTTCATGTTTGTAGCTCTTTCTTTTTTTAAAACCTTTTTTCCCTCAAGATTGATTTGACAAATGGCTATTGTATACATATATGTGTGTGTATTTGTGAGATAGAGAGTGAGAGAAGAAGAAAGAGAGAGAAAGAAAGGACGCCCCTGTGTGCATATGTTTTGTGGTTTCGTGTTGGCTAATATTGTCGACTCGAATCAAATTTAAGCCGTACCAAATATTCGTTCATTCTAAAATTGCAGCCTCTCATTTTTGCCTGCTAAGTGCGGTGTGTCTGTAGCATGTGAAATGATTGGGTTTATATGGTATGGAATTGCTTTTTTCACGGATTACGCTCTCGTAATTTGATGCGTTAATCATCATTCCTTTTATCTTTTCTTGTGTGTGTGTCTTGTGTCATCACGAAGCCATTGAAAAGATGAAGCAATCTACCCGCATTTGTGTGAAGGGAGAAAGCAGTGTAGAAAGCGGGGTCTGTATGAGTGGGTCTGTTCCGGTGCTGAAGAAACGAAGAGGATAAGTGAGAGGTAAATGTGGAAGAGTGCTGAGAGAGAGAGAGAGAGAGAGACGTAATGTTTCTGATTTTATTTCAGGAATTTAATGGTCGTCGCCGAAGCAGGGATAATCGCCTTTACATTTCGACGTGGACGGATTCGTCATTTATTTATTTTTTTTTTATTTTTTTTAATTTTAATTTTTTTTTTTTTTTTTTTTTTTGACGGATTAATCAGTCTGTGGCGGATTATCCTGTCAGTTGTCATCTATTTCTTTGCGTTAATCTCGAGCAAGATCTTGTTGGCAAACCAATTATCTGTTTAGCTCTTTGGGTCAATGACGTCATCCCGAGTTTTAATCCAGACCCCGATCGGTATTATGAAGGAGAGCTGCACTCGAAATGATGGCGGTTCTGTTTTGCATTAGGTACGAAGAGAAAATGACGAGTTTATCAAGGAATCTATAAGTCTCGAAGAATCTTAGTCAAAGCCAGTATCGTAATTGTAATAGTAATACTGTTCAACCACTTTAATCTGGGACAGAAATCACCCCTAAGAAATATATAAACAAAAAATAAAAGAAATATATAGCTCAGTGGTTTTCAACCTTTTTGCTAGAGCGGAACCACAAGGAAACATTCCCGTGGCTCGAAGAAACCCTGCAATAAATTGTCTGATGCAAAAAAAATCTTTCAATTATTAAAATAAAATAAAAATACTCATCTTCAGATTTATTTACAAAAAAATACAAAGACAAACTGTAAAAACATTGTATACGTACATATGCAATTTTAATTTTGCTTCTATGGTTAATACACATGTTTTAAAAAAACTTCATTTTAAATGGATTATATTTATCATCATTAAAGATTCAATGAGAAACTTGAGCCTGATGTTTCTTGAACAAATCTTTAATATTGGGTCGTGTTTTTGACAGACGAAGTTCATCTTCCACAGACAGCAATTTCCAAATTAATGTGTTAGTCACCGAAAAAAGGCGGTTTTTAATTTTTACGTTTTCCATTGTAAAACAGTCGTAACGTTTGTTTAATCGCTAACTCAAATCAAAGCAAAATTTTCTGACAAAACTTAAAAAATGTTCGAAGGGATTAAAATTTTTAAAAAATAATTAAAAATTACTTTGATCTTTCCTCATAATAAAAATATAAACATTTTGATGGAAAAAGTTTGTTTTATTAAGTTTGGGACCTTTTTTTTTAATTCATACTATGCTGTTTTGTTATTGATTTAGCGGAGGTACCTAAGCACACATATCTGTACAGGAGAATTAAAAATTTCTGTCAATCCTCGTACTTGTGTAACTTCTTTCGGAAACCCTGGGCTTTACTGGCGGAACGCTAGGGTTCCGCTGAACCCTGGTTGAAAACCACTGATATAGACATACAACTGTCGGCTTATTCCACATGGAGTGCGCCAGAAAAATATGTACACACTTCAGGAAAGGAAAAACTTGTGTTTCGGACGTTTTAGACATTTACCTATGAGGAACCCTTAAGGATATTGTGTATCACAGAAAACTGACAACATTGGCGACCCTTAGACAAGAAATTGAAAATTCGTGTACCAACGTTGTCCAAGCAGTAGTTTGCCGTACTAAGAAATTTCTGAAGGGTAAGGACCACTATTTTGAGCCTATCTTGCGATTGCAGAGTCCCAACATATATTGATCTCGTGATGTCTAAATAAATTTACTATTACGATATCTATACAAGTTTTACCTTTCCTGTAGTGTGTATACATTTTTGTGTCCTCTTGCGATTGCAGAGTCCCAACATAACTTCCCAGGTCCACCATGACCCGAGGTGGTAGCACCTGTTAGGGTCCCAGCTATGGGCAAATATTTAACCCACAAAATGAGGTCAAAACACTGTGAAAGTGTAACAATAGGTTTTAATACCAGCAATAAATTTTTGAGGAAAAATTATTACAACAATACATTATTACCAGCAATACGTTTTTAAGGAAAAATATTACTAGCAATATATTTTTGAAGAATAAAACTAATATTATGCAACAGATATTGGCAAAATTTCTGGACAGACTAATGAGATACATATGCCATTTTATAATATGTTAGATGTACTCTTGAAAATTTCACGATTGTCCTATTTGAAACTTCTGGTGAATCTTAATTCTTCAGTTAACGATTGAATAAACACATGGAGAGTTCTACGACAATATGCATAGAAATTCCGCTATCGCGTCGTTAAAAATTTAGGCTTACCAAAATATTTTTATAACAATCGTAAATATGAATTCTGGTTTCTTATTTTAAGAAGTAAGAGGGTACAAATGAAGTGATTTGAAATTGACTTTTTTCCAACAGACGTTGAACATTTCTATCTACCCTTCTTTCTTTCATTTTCACACTGAAACCTTTCATGCCTATGATATGCCTTTTCTGTTTTTCCACAATGGTCAAAACCGAATAGACGATTATTTATGAGGTTTTGGTAAGAGACGTTATATAATTCTATCTTCCTTTCTTTCTCACTTTCTTTCTTTATTTATTTATGGATTTATTTATTTATATATTTTTACTTTTTCTTTCATTTTCTCAATGAAACTAAGTAACGTCTCTGATATGTCTTTTCCACGCGATCAAAACAGAATAAATCATTATTTATGAGTTATTGGTAGCAGACATTAACTCCTCTAACTTCCCTTTCTTTCTTTCTTTCTTTCTTTTTCTTTCACTTTTTCAATGAAAACCAAGTAATGCCTCTGATATGTGTTTTCCGTCTTTACCCAACGGTCAAAATTGAATAGTCTATTATTTATGGGGTATTGGTAGAAGACGTTAAACACTCTTATCTTCTTTCTTTTATTCGTTCTTTCTGTCTTTCTTTCATTTTCTTACTGAAACCAAGTAGTGTCTTTTCCCCTCTTTCTCCGCGATCATAATTGAATAGTCTATTATTTATGAGGTGTTGTTAAGAGACGTTAAACACTTTTATTATCCCTTCTTTCTTTCATTCGTTCTTTCTTTCTGTTTCTTTCTTTCTTTCTTTTCACTTTCTTTCTTTCATTTCCTCACTGAAACCAAGTAGCATCTCTATATATTTTTAAGTCTTTCCACGCGATCAAAATAGAATAGTCCACCATTTAGGCATTGGTAAGAGAGATTAAATACCTCTATATTCCTTTCTTTCTTTCTTTATTTATTTATTTATTTATTTATTATAATTTTCTTTCTTTCTTTTTCCTTTCATTTTCTCACTGTAACCAAGTGGCTCCTCTGATATCTCTTTTAGAACTTTCCACGCGATCAAAACAGTATTGTTCTTTATTTATGGGTTATTGATTCAGGTTAAACACTTCTATTTTTTTTCTTCCTTTATTTATTTTAATTTTCTTTCTTTCGTTTTTCTTTCATTTTCTTATTGCAACCAAGTAACACCTCCGATGTGTCTTGTACATGTTTCTATGCGATCTAAACTGAATTCAAAACTGTTAGTAGACCCGGTAAAACGCATCTTCTGCATTCAGTATCGTGCAGTTCATAGTCACCTATATAATTTCTACTTGCAACTCTGTTGAGGTATTATATTATTAGTAATATGTACTTTTATAAAATATAGTTACAATAGCGTTTTGTTGCTGTAAGATTTCAACTCAAAAATGTTTAATAATATTGTCTATAAATATGAGTTACTAATATTTATCTCTTTAATTTCCGACATTATTATTATTATTATTAAAAGAAAGAAAGATTTCTGGCGTTTACATTTCTTTCCGGTCCCGCCCAGGGACCTAAGGACGACGGGAAATGGCGTCAGAAGAACTGAAGAAAAAAAAAAAAGATTTCTGTTGTATACTCATTTCATTGCGGCTCTCAATCAGAGACCTAAGATCAGAAATGTCATTATGCCATCATCCGCAAGACATTTTTGTAAAAAAAAAATAATACCGCCTAAGAACACACACATTTTACATAGATAAAGTCGGTCGGAGAGTGTGATTTTATATATTTCTTTAAGGCGTGGACTACCAGAGATTCCTTCAGTGAGACTATCAACTCCACGGCCCCAACCATAACGCCAATGACTGATGGTTGTTTTTATGTGCCATATTTAAATAAACAACACGAAGAAAAGCATTGAAGTCCGGTGGAGACGCGCGGTAATTTTTAGTGGTGAATGTAGAGCTACATTGGATGGACTAGAAGAAGAAGAAGAAGAGGAAAGGATGAGAAGGACGATAAGAAGAATAAGAAGGAGGAGGAGGAGGAATCGGAAGAAGAAGAAGAAGAGGAAGAAGAAAAGGGGCAAAGGACGACGAGAAGAGAGAAGAAAAAAAGAAGAAGCAAGGAGGAGGACGAGAAGAAGAAAAAGAAAGAGGAGGAAGGCGAGAAAAAGAAGAAAAAGAAGAAGAAGAAAGGAGTAGGACGACGACGAGAAGGAGGAGGAGGAGGAGGACAAGAAGGAAAGAAAGAAGGTATAGGAGGACAAGAAGAAGAAGATGAAGAAGGAGGAGGAGGACGACGGGAAGAAGAGAAAGAAGAAGAAGAAGAAGAAGAAGAAGAAAGGAGTAGGATGACGACGAGAAGAAGAAGGAGGAGGAGGACGCCGAGAAGAAGAAAGGAGTAGGAGGACAACGAGAAGAAGAAGGAGGAGGACGACTAGAAGGAGAGAAAGAAGAAGAAGAAGAAGAAGAAAGGAGTAGGATGACAACGAGAAGAAGGAGGAGGTGGACGCCGAGAAGAAGAAAGGAGTAGGAGGACAACGAGAAGAAGAAGGAGGAGGACGACTAGAAGGAGAGAAAGAAGAAGAAGAAGAAGAAGAAGAGAAAGAAGAAGAAGAAAGGAGTAGGATGACAACGAGAAGAAGGAGGAGGTGGACGCCGAGAAGAAGAAAGGAGTAGGAGGACAACGAGAAGAAGAAGGAGGAGGACGACTAGAAGGAGAGAAAAAGAGAAGAAGAAGAAGAAGAAGAAGAAAAGAAGAAGAAGAAAGGAGGAGATGACAACGAGAAGAAGGAGGAGGAGGACGCCGAGAAGAAGAAAGGAGTAGGAGGACAACGAGAAGAAGAAGGAGGAGGACGACTAGAAGGAGAGAAAGAAGAAGAAGAAGAAGAAGAAGAAAGAAGAAGAAGAAGAAAGGAGTAGGATGACAACGAGAAGAAGGAGGAGGTGGACGCCGAGAAGAAGAAAGGAGTAGGAGGACAACGAGAAGAAGAAGGAGGAGGACGACTAGAAGGAAAGAAAAAGAAGAAGAAGAAGAAGAGAAAGAAGAAGAAGAAAGGAGGGAGGATGACAACGAGAAGAAGGAGGAGGAGGACGCCAAGAAGAAGAAAGGAGTAGGAGGACAACGAGAAGAAGAAGGAGGAGGACGACTAGAAGGAGAGAAAAGAAGAAGAAGAAGAAGAAGAAAAAGGAGTAGGATGACAACGAGAAGAAGGAGGAGGAGGACGCCGAGAAGAAAGAAAGGAGAAGAGAGGACAACGACGAAGAAGAAAAGAAGGAGGAGGACGACTAGAAGGAGAAAAGAAGAAGAAGAAGAAGAAGAAGAAGAAGAAGAAGAAGAAGAAGAAGAAGTAGAAGTCAAGTCATAAATGATGCAAATGTCAACTTCAAGAAGAAAAAGAGTGAATTGGAGGGGGTGGATGAATTAAAAGAAGCAACGAAAGTGGAAATCATTATTAAAAAGACTTTTTTTTTAAATCCAACAAAGAAATAAACGAACACATCAATAAAAAATAAAAAAATAAAAACTTCTGGAACTAGTTAAAGATAATGGCTAATTTGGTATGAAATCTCAGAGCGGAATAGAAAACAGTTTTTTTTTTTTTATTAACTTAATTTCAAAATAAAATTTGAAAAAATTACTTAAATGGACAAGCATAAAAAGCAAATTAAATTTTTTTACGATAATTCTCGAATATTTTAAATAGTTTTATTTTCTTTCGTTTTTCCCCCCTTATTTTGGAATAAAAATGTTTTTGCTTCTTTGTAAATTTCCAAAAGTGATGTTCTTAGTAGGTACAGGAAATATAGGTTTTATTTCTTTTAAAAGAGTGTTCAAAATAAATCCAAAATAAATATTATAAGTAAATATTATATATAAATAAATATTATATATAAGTACAGCGTGTGTGTGTGTGTGTGTGTGTGTGTGTCCGCGCCCGCGCGTGTTTCCAAACAACTCCTACGCTCCGACTCGTCAAATTTCAATGAGCCAATGCTCATTCAAACGCCTTAGAAAAGTTAGACACAGGGAACGATTTTCGTTGAGCTCAGATTCTGGGTTACCAGATTATGCAAGGTTAAAAATATATATTAATATATTATACTAGCCATTATCATTGCTTTCATGGTTCAAGAGAAGTAACAAAAATTTTCCTTTTGTATCCAAAATTGCAGTGCACGTTTTTATTATGAACTAGATTAGAATTAGGTAAAAACCTATATTATGGAATATAATTAGCTATTATGTTTCTCTAACTCTTCAAATGTTGAATGTATAACTAATTCTAATTTCTATTTTCCCATCTTTACACTATATTAATTTTATCTTATAAATTGTCCCCTGTTCTGTCAGCCATGAAATAAAAATAATTGTTTGTACGGAAAATAAGGATCTACGTACATCAAATCGTCCTTAAATTAAGTGGCAGCTGAAGAATTATCGTTGAGCTTTTAAAAGGTAAACTTAGACATTAATTCAATACTTAAATGCAGCGATCAATTTTGAGTTTTTCTGTAGTTTATTGATGCCTATTGCATATACTCCTCCCTAGCTATTGTGATGATGACCAAACCAAGAGCCGTCTACAGGAGCTAGCTTAAATGCCCCCCGATTAGGCGGCTTTTAAGCTAGTTACTAATAAAACGTATACAAAAGGAAAATAAGAGTTACTCCCCTTGAACCATGAAAACAACGATAATGGCTATTAATATACATTTTTAACCTTACATAATTTGGCAACTCCTCTATGGCTGTCGTGATGATGGCCGACATTTAACATGCTTTCATGATGAACCAGCCTCATCAGAAAAGTATTTTTATTTGGCAAGAACAAAATCTCCATTAACGAGAAGAAATGTGATTCAATTTAAGCAGATGAACGGTTAATTTTTTCTTTTTTTTTTCCTTTTTTTACAAAAATGTTTACTCTGTATAAGCCCCGGGAGCCACTCGGGATAGAGGGTTGCAGAGTAAGACTCACATTTTATGCGGATAGTTGGGGAAGATAACGGCTAACCCCAGACTGAACATATTAAGATTGTATTGATTGTGGGAAGCATCCTCTTAGGAGTCAGTTCCACAAAGCATCAGTTTGTCGGATTCAACTGAAGAAATAAAGAAGCAAAGAGTTGAAATTAATTAAGCTGAAGTAAAAATCAAGCCATGAGCCGATTAATGAGAATCTCGCCTTGTCTCGTTGATGGAGATTTGGGTCTCGTGAAATAAAATCCTTCACCAATGAAATAAAATCCTTCACCAAAGCTCATCGAAAAGAGATGTCAAATTGAATTTTTATAAATTGTTTAATGTATTTACCACTCCGTCGGATATATATATATATATATATATATATATATATATATATATATTAAGACATTTTATGTTTATACATTCTTTTTATAGATACAAATATTTAAGCAAATGCTATGTTTATAATAAACAGTATTAAACAACATTTACCGGCCTGAATGTCCGAGAAATTTTCACAGTAAATATTCGTCCTCCGACAGGATTAGAACCTGTATCCTATACGGAACCGTCATTTAGCTTGACGTGCCTTTAACCGATTTGGCCACAGAGGAGCTTTCGGTTAGCAAGGTCGATTTTACTTAAGTACCTCCACCAAATGTCAACAAAAAGAGCATAGCATGATGAAAAAGACGCCGAACTTGACGAAAACAAAATTTTATCGCTTAATGTTCATATTATTATTAAAGAAGAAAGATCAAAATATTTTGGGGGTATTTTTTTACATTTTTTAATCGTTCCTAGCACGTCCGAAATTTTCGTTAAAAATCTTGTTTTTTTTTTTGTCAAAAAAAAGGACAGATAATCCATCATTTTCAATCATTTTTTTCCATTTTATAAAAAAGATGAAAATCTCACTTTGACATTCTTTTAAAAATCAATTATAATTTTTTCAAAACGTTTTTTAATAGAATCAGAAATTATAATATTTATTTAAAATATTTTGAACCAAGGTTAACTTTGCTTCTGCGCCGAAAAAATGTAATTTGAAAATAAAACAAAGCAAGTCATAACCTTTCGCGTCACTTGTCAGGTGACGAAAGACATTTTTATGACGTTTAGATAACTTACGGGAGGATAATTCTTTCTACGGATGGTAGGAAGTGAAATTATTTAGATTTAAGTAAACAAATTATTTACCTCGTTACTTTTAAGGAAAACTTTCAGCGCTCTAATTTTTTAATTTTTTTTTTTTTTTTTGTACTTAGCTTTCATCTTTACGTTTACGATGCTTTATGGAAAATATATTATAAAGAAATTAAAAAATAAGACTTAAGAGTGAGATTAAATTTCATAAGAAAGGTATCTAATTAAATTATCGGTACCTTTCTTATGAAATTTTATCAGAAGTGTACATAAAATACTATAATTTTATGTACATTTATTACATTTTACTGTGTTATTTGTATTTCCATTCATTTTATTATTAATTTTGATATTTCATTTATGGACAAAATGTCATAACTGAGATTAATATAAAAATAAGATCATATAAATTAAAGTTTAGCAGCAGTAGTTAAATTTCATAAGAGGATACTAATACTTGTAGGTACCCTTCTCAGTTGAAATTGAAAACTCAAATGAACTTCTCCATACGTGTTTCGCAAAAGTAAAGGGCTTAACAGCGGAGAACAATGCTGAACTCAAATAATGCAACTAAATTGTATTCTGGTTGGTCTTCCGCACTTTATAATTACCGCCCGATTATAAACAGAAAATTACATTTCTTAATTACTGTGGATCTTCTGATTGGTCAAAATGATACAATTTTCAAAGCGCTAGAAAATGATCTATCTCATAAGGACACTTAGAAAAACCGATGTGGCTTTTAACTAATTTGATAATATTTTTTAAAAACTTAATGTAAAAATCTGTTATAATTAACGAAATAACAAATAATTGTATTAAAAATTCAATTTTCATTGAAAAAAATGTTTGCTTTGAGAAAATATTGTCCATATTCATAAAAATAACTAAAAACAAATAAAACCATTTGAAATTAAATAATATCTTTGTTTTATTGAGTTTTGTATGTTACAATTCAGAGCTGATTTTCAGGTACTGCGGATCCAATTAAAAAAAACAAAAAAAAAACATGATTTGCATTCTTCAAAACCTTGTGCTTTTAACTATTGTAATCACTAAAGTTAATGCGCTCGAATTTCTAGTTTTTCATAAAATTAGTTATGGGGGTGTTAATAAATATAAAAAAAAACATATTTCTGCCATGACTTTAATAAAAAAAAAACATATTTATAATAATTTTGATCATCCGTGAATAGTTTCTGAAAGTTTCATTAACATCCGACAATTGATTTTATTTTTACAAGATTTTCCAAATTAATGTGTGTAATACAAAAAAAAACCTGCTAAAAATTGTCTATGTTATTTTACTAGTTCCGGTTGGTACAAAGAGAAACAAGGTTTTTTTAATCAAAATTGGGAATGTTCTAAAAAGAAAGAAAAATTTTAAAAAATAATTAAAAAAAACTTTGGTCTTTCCTCTTTACAATAATATAAGCATTTAGACGATAAAATTTTGTTTTCATAAAGTTTGGCGTCTTTTTCATCAGACTATACTGTTTTTTTTTTTTTTAGCGATTTCGTGGAGTTACCTAAATTTACTGTATTTAAACTTTAATCTTCCATGAATCTCTCACGTACATTCATGTCTGCTCATGGCGTATCAAATGTAAACAAATGACGTCACACATTATGAAATGGACAAAGTCCGACAATTATTTTAAGACATCTTAAAATAATTTTCGGACTTGTCCATTTTATAATGTGTGACATCATATATATATATATATATATATATATATATATTAAAACAGATTTCGTTAAATAATTTAGACATATTCTGTCTACTTATTCTCGATTGGATCCTTTCATATTTCCGAATAAGATTTTTTGTGCGGTTATTAAATAACGAGAGGAAAACACCATGTTGACTCATATTGTATTTTCTTAGTTCTTTCGACATAGCATAATGTCAACATCAGGGTATTGTTAATTATAGAGCAAGTATTTTCATAGAAAATATGTGCCCTCCGACAGGAATCGAACCTGTATCGTATACGGAACTATCATATAGCCTGACGTGCTTTTACCGATTGAGCCACAGAGGAGCGTTTCGGTCAGCAAGGTCGATTTTACTGTTTTTAAATCACAATTCTCCATGATTTTCACATGTACATTCATATCTGCTCGATGCGTATCCAAATGTAAACAAATGACGTCACACATTATGAAATGGACAAATTATTTTATACAATATATATATATATATATATATATATATATATATATATAATGTTGAGAAACTTAATGCCATAGTGAAGAAACTTTGTTGTCACTTGGTCTCCATTCAGATTCACCAAATAATTTAGGAGTAAAAGGTCGTCGATTACAAAATCATTGTTTCGAACGAGTATTGCAAATAGTTTTTGAACTTTGAAAGGCAAGAAAATAAGGAAATTATCTGGAAGACAGCGTCACAAAACCCCATTGTTCTGACTTGCGAAAGATTGCTCCCTCTGACCTTTATTGAAAGAACTCCTGATTCGGCAAACTATTAAGCCACTGGTTGCTTCCAGGCCTAGAAAATAGAAATGCTGGCTTTTATCTCGATTCTAACGCTGATCTTTTGACAGTGGTAGGAACTAAAGCCCTGCTTTAGCCACGAGGAAAGTCATACTTTTAGGCTAATCCTCTTACTGTAATTCCCATGTGTAATACGCCCTCATCCATAATACGCGCCCATAAAATTGTGCTGAAAGTGTGGGAAAGTGCTTCTACTCACGCATAATACGCACCCCTTTTTTGGTAATTAAACCCTATAAATTGTAGCTCTCCAATTTCATTACGGCCAGCGTTTCCTACTCTTACTAAAAAATGGTTTTAAACATAGAATAATATTATTCTAATTTAGTTTTATGAAAATTCTTATTTTATTTTACATCTGTTAGTATTCTTAGGTACATATGATTGTATTTGACATCCTTATGGGGTCGCAATTGCCGAATGTTAGTATCAAATTGTCATATGTTTGTGGTGAGTAAAATGAAATCGACCTATGAAACAGCAATTTTTTAAAGATTTTTTGTAGCTGTGCATAATACGCACCCCCAATTTTGCCTATTATTTAAAAAAAAAAAAAATCTACGTATTATACATGGAGAACTGTGGCATATTATATCACTTTTAGCCTCATTCTAATTATTCTCATGGTCATTACTGAGTGAGAGACCAGGATGCTAATAAAGTGTCATTGGGGTACAAATATACGAAGCCAATACACCCATCATGACGCAAGTGTGATATACCTGGACACATTAACATTATTAATTTAATATATTGTTTAACCAATAAAAGGCCTAAGAATCACTCGAGGTAGAGGGTCGCTGAATGAGGTAACTGTAAGTGCCTAAAGAATAGAGGTTTATATTAAGACGGAATGTAAAATTAATAGCGGTTGATCCTAAGGCTAAGAGGGAATCATCCCTTCGTGTGTCTATTCCACAAAATAACGTTTCTGAAGAAAAAGCTGCTGAGTGGAACTCACCAATGGAATACAAAGGAAATACACATAAGTCAACCTTGTGTAAGTTGCATGGTGGGTAAAAAGATTCAAATGATGGTATTATTACTTTATCATTATTATTTCCTGCTGTATACACATTACTTCCCTTGTCCTAACCAGAGACCTAGGGTCATAAATGGTTTTATGACATTTCCCAATAAAAATATTTGTAAAAGAAAAACATAATATCACAGATTTTACATAGATAAATTGCTCCTCGTCATGTGTGACATGTACTTGTGAGTACAATTTCATTGTATTTCTTTAAGGCAAAGCCAAGAATCCCTTCAATGAGTCTATCGGACCCTTTCACAATCAATCCGAGGACTCCAAATAAAACTAAAATTGTTAATGTCCACATGTGCCACATTTTTGAGATTTCCATTTCAAGGTCCCTGTCTTTTGATAGTTTATTTGAAGATCTTCAAAGATACATTACAGTCTTGGTCCTTGTACTTTGATAATTTTCTGGAGATCTTCAAAGATACATTACAGTCTTGGTCCTTGTACTTTGATAATTTTCTGGAGATCTTCAAAGATACGTATTTTGGGTTAGTTCCATCCTTGATTATGCGACAGTGGTAGGATATGGCTGGGAAAGTTTGGTCCTGAGCTGCAATAATTAGGCATTCTGTCTCAGCTTTCAATCCGGTACTCCTCTTTTGGTCTACATATTATTATTATTATTATTATTATTATTATTATTATTATTATTATTATCTTTTTCGCACATGTTTCATTTTCTATCTTCTTCGTTTTATTATTATTAGTAGTAGTAGTAGTCGTAGTATTATCTTTTTCGCACTGGTTTCGTTTTTTATCTTCTAACTTTAGTGTATTCGGGAAGCATATTAGAATAATTCAGAACCTATAATGGCAGGAAACTGCCTGAATACGAATAGAAAGGGGTATCAGACGAGTATGCGTCTTCTCACCGGGGTTATTGAACAGTGAGACGATTATGAGAGACTTAGAAATCCTACAAGGATTCCTTGTTGGCGGCCATAATCTTAACCAAAAAAATATGAAGATGACACAGTGCTGATAGCAGACACGGAAAGGAAGCAAACAAAAATCCTACAAGAGTCAGTTAAAGAAAGAGAGAAGAAAGGACTAATCATCAACTGCAAGAAGACAGAATGCATGGTTGTCAACAAAAGGGAAGAGACTAACATGCAAATCACACATTGGGGATATCAAAATCAAACAAGTACAACCATTTAAATATCTGGGAAGTGTTTTAACAGGGGATGGAAAATGCCACACCGAAATCCGAAGGTACATTGGAATAGCGAAAGATGTTTTCCAAAAGATAAGCAATAGATTAAGAAACAGAAAAATTTCGTTCGAAACAGAGAAAAATGTACTGAACTGCTCGTGATATCAAACATTCTATACGGCAATGGATGCTGGACAATCTCATCAAGAAGAAGAGACTTGAAGCAACAGCAATGTAGTTCTACAGAAGGATGCTGAGAATACCATAGGCCGAACATGTGAGCAACGAATAAAGTTGTAGGGAAGATGAAGACAAAAAGAAAACTTATATATGGCATCAGGAAGAGACATATGAAATATCTAGTGCACAATAATGAAGAAAGAGGGCTTGGAAAAGTTGATACTCACAAGACAGATTGATAATAATAATAATAATAATAATAATAATAATTGATATGGAAATTATAAAGACACGGTTACAGACATAGGACCTGTAACAATTTTATGGGACATTACATTTCACACAGACAGAACAATCCAAGCTAGTCGTTCAGAATCTGCCATCTTATTGATAGGGCATTGTCTGCAAATTATAATGGATCTTTGAAGAACTTTAAAAAAGAAACTACCAAAGTGCAAGGACCTTGAAATCGAAATATCAAAAATGTGGCACGTGTGGACATTAATAATTCCAGTTGTAGTTGGAGCCCTCAGTTTGATGTGAAAAGCCTTCAGAAAAATTCAAAAGATTGTACACACAATTATATTTCACGACTTACGAAGGACTTTATCTATGTAAAATGTGTGTGATATTAGGTTTTCTTTGGGTTTTTTTTCTTTTTTCTTTTCTTCAAAAAATGCTCAATGAAAAATGTCATGATGCCATTTAGGACCCTAATTTTCTGGTTGGGACCCGGAAAGAAATAAGTATATACCAGAAATCAAAGAAAATAATAATAATAATAACAATTGTTATGGTTATTTACCCACGCATGCATGGACTCCCCTAGCTATAAATAGGAGCAGTTACTGCCTTTTAGAGAGGGAAGTTTCCAGCAGTCAGCTCTGACAGTCGGACCGAACATTCTTGCTGTAATACTTTCGTTTGTATGTTTGCATTATTGTTTCTGTTAATATATTTAACTCAATTTCTCTCTTTGTGTCATTATTTCTGGCCCTAACAAAGCGATAGATAGATAGATAGATAGATAGATAGATAGATAGATAGATAGATAGATAGATAGATCCAGACTGAGACAGATAGATAGAAAGAAAGGAAGAAAGAAAAAATAGACTTAGATAGATACATAGATAGATAGGAACAGAGTGAGATAAGAACAGACTGTGATAGATAATGTTATGGTAATTTACCCACGCATGCATGGACTCTCCCAGCTATAAATAGGAGCAGTTACTGCCTTTTAGAAAGGGAAATTTCCAGCAGCCAGCTCTGACATTCGGACCGAACATTCTTGCTGTAACACTTTCGTTTGTATATGTTTGTATTACTGTTTCTGTGAATATATTTTTTGAACTCAATTCCTGTCTCTCTTTCTTTATTTCTGGCCCTACCAAGGCCACAACAATAATAATATTAAAAAATAATCTCTTGACATGAGAATCCATTCGGATCTATTAATCGTTTTTTTAGTCTGCCGATTTGGTTAACATCAAGACATATTATTTGACCTTTAATTTATTTCTATCGTCTACTGTTCATTTTCCCCACCGCCATTCATTTTTATTTTTTCCTGTGTACATATTTTCAAATTTCAAAATGTCGCTTCCTATTACAAGCTCAAAGGTTTCGTATAGTCGCCAGTTATTAATTTTGACACTCGACCCCAAAAGGTGAAGCGATAAATAAAAGACATTTGAGATAATAACGAAAGATTGCATTGTCTATCGGGAAGAAAATAACAGAGACCTTTTCGGAAGTATATTAAGTGATTAATGGTTCGGTCAAGCAATGGCAAATCTTACTTCCGCGACATGATAATTATACAAGATTAAGTTCTGCCCACACAAGGCCAATTGTTGTCGGCGCAGAAAGACGGCACTGTGCCAAAAGGGACTAAGTGAAGACGTTACTGTCATGAAAGTCAACATCGGAATTAGCCGCAATTTGCGCATTTTTACCAAGTCTGACACAAGGATACAGATTTCTGGAATTCTGAACTGGTCACGAACAAAGAGCTGATCACGTTCTTTAAATCTTTATTCAATCTACCGCAGTAGTCCCGATATTCTCCCGAATCCCCAGATAATACTTATTATTATATATTCTTGGTATCTTTTCGGTGTATGAAAAAGTTCGGTTTATAAAAGAAAAAGGCACAACACAGAATAACAAAGTGAAACAGATTAATTATAATAATAGACTGTAATGAAATTTATGTGACGGATAGAAGAATCGTTCCTACCGTAGATCATGTGAGGCACAATAAAAGAGAAACACCAAAATCTAATTTATAAAATAGAACAATTCTAACAATAGACTGTAATGAAAGTTATGTGACGGATAGAAGATTCGTTCTTACCGTAGATCTTATTAAGCACAATAAGAGATTAACAACAATAACTAATAATAAAATAGAATGATTCTAACAATAGACTGTAATCAAAGTTATGTGACGGATAGAAGATTCGTTCTTACCGTAGATCTTATTAGGCACAATAAGAGATTAACAACAATACCAAAAATTAAAATAGAACAATTCTAACAATAGACTGTAAACCAAACTTATGTGACGGATAGAAGATTCGATCTTACCATAGATCTAATTGATGCTATATAAATATATATATATATATATATATATATATATATATATATATATATATATATAGTTATGAAGAATTTGGAATAATAAGTTATGAAGAATTTGGTAAACCGAATTGGTAAATCCAAGGAGGATGAAATCCTGAGAGCTCAATGAAGAACAGAGCTAATATTTAATGAACAACAGACACTTTAAGGTAACATTACAATAATTTATTTCACTGTAATCCTTTTTAAAGGATTTCGGATCATGTTGGAAGTGTTACCTGATGATCCGAAAATCTTTAAAAGGATTTTGGTGAAATAAATTATTGTAATGTTACCTTAAAGTGTCTGTTGTTCATTAAAATTTATATATATATATATATATATATATATATATATATATATATATATATATATATATATATATAGGGTGTCCAAAAGTTCGTGTGCACTTTAAAAAGTTATAATTGTATTTGCATTTGTGATAGAAATGATTTGGAAAAATGATTAGAAAGAAGTAAATCTATATTTTTTAAGGTTTTATTGAAATTTTATTTAAGTTTCCACATGTCCCCCACCATTAGCAATACAAAGTGCAATACGATTTTGCAGTTCACGGAAAACACGGATTTACAGTAATGCTTGAAATCACATTAGTTAATTTAGCTATACTTAAAACTAGGTACATTAAACTTTATAACATTTTTTACAGATTATTTCTATCGCAAATACAAATAAAGTCATACATTTTTTAAAGTTCACACGAATTTTATGGACACTCTGTATATATATATATATATATATGTGTGTGTGTGTGTGTGTGTGTGTGTGTGTGTGTGTGTGTTGCTTGGAAATCTTCCATGCAAACAAAAACAGACTATCATTATTGTTTTGTCCGTGTATCGTTTAATATTTTGTAATGTAATTGTCATCTTTGATAATGGCTTATGTAAGCTGAAAGCTTAGATAGGATTAAAAAAAATATGTATCAATATGGTGATTTTCTTATCAGACGATATGAAAAGAATTTACATAAAATAAATAGACAAAACTTGTCTATATTTTTTGATAAAACATGCATCAATATATATATATATATATATATATATATATATATATATATATATATATATATATATATATATATATATATATATATTAGGCAGCATATGATTTACATACAAAGTATCTTACAACCGTCAATAATAGCAGATATTCAAAAAACATCTTTCGGTCGACATACAGGTATATCGTCTCAAGTTTTTGATTTTATAAGGAAAAAAAACACATGCCTGTTGATGGATGGAAGACCGTCCGTAAGTACTAGCATTTTACCATCGAATAAACTGAAAAACTACAGACAACAAGTTTTTCTTCAAGGATCAAAACTCGCGCTATGGATGAACAGGATTTTAATGCATATATTATGTTTTCTAGTGACGGATGTCGCCAATAATCGCATTGATACTTCTGATTAATTCTATGTGTGATTATTTCTTTGTATATATATATATATATATATATATATATATATATATATATATATATATATATTTGCCAGATTAAACAAACAGTAAAATATTTGTTAAGATCGTACGCATCGAAAGTGCTCAATATCAAGTTGTAAGACCAGACTTGCAGAGCTGTTTAATGTTTAAGATATATATATATATATATATATATATATATATATATATAGTTTCAAATCTCACCATGACATGCTCAATATATCAGTAAATTTGAGTTTATAGACCGGTGTTGTGTTGAGAAATTTAGAAAATCATACCAAAAGCATGATCTAGGGTTCTCCTAGCACATAGTCTCAAGTCATCGTGACTGAGGGTTTGAGTGTTATGGCCCAGTTCAAACTGTTGATCAAACCAGATGACGCGCTCTCTCCTGGAATAGATAACTAGGATCTGCTCGGCATTCTTGTAATATTAGGGTAGGTAGATTTTGGAACCGTGTTATTGCACTAAATTTGAAAGTAGCAGTATCACATGATGAATAACTACAGAAAAATATGTTTTCCAATTCTTTGACGTTTTCAAGAAAACGAGTGTAAAGATTACGTTTAGGTTAAAAATCGTAGCGTTGGAATTGCATTCCATTAATCAGCGATCAGCGTTATGAAATTTATAATTTACTGAATCTTCACAAAATCTGTATGGACAAAATGCATGTCCCAATATTACTAAATAATTATGCCATCAAATAAGACCTTCATTTACTTCAAAGGAAAATTAAACGGAAAAATTTTGCTTTTTATGTAATACATTTAGTAATATGTAACGCAGTGCTGTAGTTTTAGTTTGATTTTCACTACCAAACGCAAATGTAAAACATTTTGTCTTATATTTTCTGCCCAGCAATATTATGGTGTTATATACACTTTTATCTATACTAAATTACTTTTTTTTTGTTTTTGTTAATGATGATCTAGCAACTATTATTCCTTGAGTAGCCTTTTTTGCTATCTTTTACAATTTTCTTACAGAAATTACTTATACAACCTTTTGTAAATTAATTGAAACAAAACGAATAATTTCGTTCACATTTACTTGTTCTTCGTATTTTTTTCCAATGAAACATGACCCAGTGCACATTTTAGTACTTCGTATGTCCATTCCACGAAGTCTTTCCTTGCAGATTGAGCACAGATTCTCGATTGGATTTAAATCAGGAGAGCTCCCAGGCCAGTCTATGATTTTGATTTTCTCACTGGTAAGGCTTGCCAGTTTGTTCGTGCAGAGTTACAATTTTCATACGCTTCCCTGTAGTAACGGCAATGACCGTAGGACAACTAATAGACAGTCGAGACAATAGTGTCTGGGCGTGATAAAAAATCTGATACAATCACGGATGACGCAATATTTTTAAGGCCAAAGAAATTTCATCATACACCACCAGATTCATATTACTGCACACTGCTGAGAAAAAAATAAAAATCGATTGCACAGTCACCCCAGTGGCTCTAAAACTTTAAAAAATTAATTTGCACAATTCTGTAGAATACAGTAAAAAATAGCATAATTTGCTTATGGTGATTCATAATTCGAATACTGGTTAGAATATATTTTCCATTGAACATATCAAATAGAAAATATATTAACTTTATTTGAATAAATTCTTGAAATAGTAAAATTTGAAGTCAGTTTGACAGCAAAACTCTGCGGAAATCAGGTATTTCTGTAGATTTTTATAGACGACGTTTCAAACTAAATGCTCAAACATTGGCGAAAGCTATATATCTAAGTTTTGGTGTCAATATTAATCACAGCAGACCACGGCGGACATCTTGAGAGCAATGTTGAGTTTCTCAAAAAAGTAATAAATCAACATTGCCCAGTTTTAGTATAAACTCCAGATGGGCTCTCTGTCAGTGTTAACAAACACAAATGTGTCCAAACCGTTGTCTTCAAGTGAGTTACGTATGTACTTGTTCACGGAAAATTGCTAGTATGTTCCGACTTACACGGAAAATCGCCTTACGACGCATCGAACGAACGGAACTCTGTCGTAAGTTGAGGATCCCCTATATATATATATATATATATCATTAAAGACGACTGGGGAAAGGTACGGTGATTAAGATTTTTACTTAATTTTTCTTGTGTTTGAACAAGTGTTTTCTTTTCTGGACACAGAGTGTGTAGAAACAGCCCAAATGTTCTATACTTCCGAGAGCTTTCGGCTATACTTTTAGCCATTATCTAGGATGATTTTATTTTTGCTTTTTAATTGGATGTATAGGTTGTGTATATGTTTCAAGAGTTATATAGTGTTTTATTTTCCGAACACAGAATAATATTATGGCCGTGTTCATAGTTAATTGCGTGTTGGCTTTTTTTTTTATTATTAAGGCTTCCATTATTTGTAATCATTTTTTACATGTGGATGAGGTTATTATGTCTGTATTTTCTACTAGCATTTTTCGGGTGGAGTCTGACATATGTATATATGTTGTGGTAGGATCCACCTAATTTGCATAGTGGAGTACCGACCATATAAATATGGTTGGTACCGGGAAGACGGGGGAAGGAATCAAGAGATTCAACCAGAGACTCTGCCCGACTGCGACTCAGTCAACACATTCTCCAGGAACGGTCTTCCCAAGAATATACAAAAGACTATATGTAAATATTGTGTACACTTTCTTGTTTCAATACATTTTGTTCTAAGTACATTTTGTATTGTATTATTCCCCATGCATTAATCAAGTTTCAACAATATATATATATATATATATATATATATATATATATATATATATATATCGGTGAACGAAATAAAGAGTTCGGTTCGAAATTCCAATCGCCTGAAAAAGGGGAAATTCTACAACGGCTGAAACGTCGTGAATATGCAA